GCAGAGATATTTCAAAGATTTTATTTGCTTTTTCGTAATATTCCAGTGCTTTCGAGTATTCACCCATGCTGTCATACACTGCACCGATGTTACCATAAGTATCAGCCAATGAAACATCATCTTCTGGAAGAGTTTTCCGCTTGATATCGAGTGATTTTTCGTAGAATTTAACCGCTTCTTGATATTCTCCTTGGCCTTTTTTGACTCTCCCTAATTCGTGATAGATATATGCTATATCACTGTCAGTGGAAGCACCCTTAAGTAGTTCATTGTAGAGTTCCTCAGCTTGATCGAAATGGCCCACTTGAAGCATTAATTTACCCATTCGATACCATTCATTCGAACTTTGAACCTCCTCTTTGATGTGATTGGTAAGAGTAGAAAGTTGTGGATCACTCTCGTCAGTAATAGTCAATTGTACTTCCCAAAGACGACTATTACTAGGCGTCTGTGTAATTTCAACAATACGAAAAACACTGTGCATTGTAAATAGAATTTCTTGTTCTCGTGGAAGAGCACTGTGCTTATCAATCATAGCAAATGGTGTGATTGAAGTTGATATTTTACTTGGATCTATTGTCATAATAAACATAACACCCACAATATCTGGGTTTCTCTCTAGGGTACCTTGAACAAATGATGTGGCCACTTTTTGTTTCTTACTAGTCGATAAAAAGTTGTTAAACGAAAGGAGTCCACCTTTTGAATCAAATAGATTCTGAAAATCAGGTTGGCTGAGTCCCTGACCACGATAAACGGTAAAAGCTGTTTGGAAACTTGCCGACTGCTCCTGGTGTAATTGTTTCAGTTGCAGATGAAGGCTTCGAATGAAAAATCCTAATTTGCACATCGTTTCCATATCAAGCGATCTTAACCCACGATTAAGCATACCGTAGAGAAAAATCTCTTTCGTATACCACCAAAATGCTGATTTCGAGTGGTACTCACACTTAAATTCGTTGATTTGTGTTTCAGAAATATTTTGTTTTTGGCAAAATTTCACTAAGGTGTCCATAGATTTAGAGTCATCGTCATTGATTTCTAATATAATATCTTTGAAAATGATCGAGTACATGTATGATGGCGGTAACCGATCAAGATTGTTTTTATCCGATCCTATTGCCCCTTCTTCCACTATTTGCTTCGGAACGAAGCTCATCGGGATCGAATCATGATCGCACTCATGGGCGACCTTTTTGAGCGATTCACATATTGGCTTAATGGAGGTGAAAACACCTCGAATCTTTGACCAATCCTTCGACCATGATTCATGGCACTCCTTGTTGTCGCAAAAAATATAAATGGCATCCACTTTTGGTATGCCGTGAATGTCATTTACA